TTATAGGCAAAGTTCTGGACAGATTATTAAAGATACTTTGTGAACAATAGGAAAGTGGAACTCACCAGGAGCCAGGAAGATCTCACAAAGAACAAGTCACATGACTTTATTTCTTTCCTAACTGACTTAAATAAAGAAATGGTAAATTTGGCTCTTGGTTGTCTTGACCTTGCTTCCAGTGGCAATTTAAAAGCTGCCCAAGAGGAGAATTCTTAAATAACAGCTCAACAAAGCAGGGAGAAGTGGGTCCTAAAAGTAAAGGGATGGGAAGATTCCTGAATGAACACCTAATATTATCTTGGGGAGACATGAGGGAGGGCTGGTTGCATGAGAAGGATCAGGACTGAGAAGACACCAGCAAGAAATATGGTAAAGGCTATTTATTATAGGGCAGATGATGAAGTATAAGGGCTACCGTAATGGGTGGTGGTAAAGGCAATCATTGTCATCATTGTCACTGTCATTATCAAAATGGCAGCTAATCATTTTGCAGGGAGCATACTGTTTTGCTAAAAACAGCTTTGAAAGATTGACAGGCTGAGTAGCTGTTCAAGGTCATACAGCTAGCAGGTGGAAAAGCCGGCATTCAAACTTAGGCTGCAGGGCCTGCTCTTGAGCCAAAACCCAGGTCCCTAGTTAGAAAATCTCCTGAAGTGCCAAGTAATATATGGATGCCAATCTGAAAGGAAGTCTCAAGACATATACCCCTCAAATTCTCAACTTAGCCTTGTCCTATTAAACATCTTTTTCATATGAGGGGTCTTCAAATGACATGAGGGGTCTTCAAAAAGTTGGAAAGATTCATATTATCTTCTAGTTCTATTTTTCTGTAAAGTTTTTGAAGTACCCTCATAAATAAAGAAATTAAAAGATTATTTATAAAATCAAAGATGACATGGAATTTTGAGGAATAGCTAAGATTTTTGATGACAGAATGAGGATTCAAAAATACCTCAATAGACTAAACTGATGAGTTAAAAATAACATTACATTTAATGTGTAAATGTGAGATCTTGAATTTACATCTAAAAACTCACCACAAATACAGCATAGAAAAGATAATGCTAATTTCAGCCAGTATTTCTTCTTATATTTCCTTATCCTCTACAGCCAGCTCATAGCCAGGTCTTACAAATTTTACCTTTTAATGTCTCTTGATCTGTCCTTTCCCTTCCATTTTCCTTGCCTCTATCCTAATTCAGGCACTTCATGCACCACTCTCTTCTACCTCCACATTCTTGTTTTTCCAAACCATCTTACACAAAACTCAGAAAAATTCTCCTAATGCACAGGTCTGCACCCCCCTGCTTACACACCTTCAGTGGCACCCTACTTCCTAATTTAAAAAGGCACGTTCCTTGAGCCTGACATTCAGGATCCTCCAGTTTGGCCCCAGCCTTCCTTTCCAAAACCCAAATATCCATCGCTTGTTCCTCCTCTGCTTACTCTTCCTTACCTCTTAACATTGCTCTGGTTCCATCCTTCCCCTCTGCAAGCCTATCTGTCTAAATCTTCCTCATTTTTCACAAAGGTTAGTTCATACCCTTCACCAAGCTTTCACTGTGCTCCTTAGGAATTTCCTCCTCCTGAAGCATACAGCATATTTACCTATTTTAACATATTTTCTGCCATAAATTAATGCTGTGGGCATACACATTCTATTTCTCTGTGTTTCCTTTCTATTCTTCACCAAGAATATAAGCTCATGAAAGGTGGAATCTGTGGCTGATTAACTTCTTTATCCCCACACATTCACACAGTGTCTTGGTTGGGGCTCAATAAATAACTGACAAGCACAACGATAGGACGCAAGAAGCAGCCCTGGATGACAGGATGTAATAGTGCCCAGCACCGGGTCCTGCACAAGGAAAGTGATGCTTCCGCTGAAATACCCAGAGCACATCTGGGACACTGGTCTGAGGTGGACACTGCCAAGCCAATGGGCAATGGAGAAAGGTGACTGGGACGGCTTGCAGACCCAGGACTACCAGAGACTGGGAACCGCTGAAATACCCAGAGCACATCTGGGACACTGGTCTGAGGTGGACACTGCCAAGCCATTGGGCAATGGAGAAAGGTGACTGGGACGGCTTGCAGACCCAGGACTACCAGAGACTGGGAACGTTCAGTCTAGGAAAAAAAATAAAGTCTAAATATGAGGGTACTCCAAAAAGTTCATGGGAAGAGTCATATTATCTCTCAATTCTATTTTTCCATTAACTTTCTGAAGTATCCTCATATTTGAAGGGCTTTCATATATAAGGATTAAACTGATTTGGAATCACTCCAGAAAAAAACAAAAAGACTACATCCACTAGATAGGAGAGGATCACTTCAAAATAAGAGAAGGCTGCCAGATGAGAACTTTCAACAATGACCAGTCTGCTCTGTGGATGCAGTGGCTCCCGTCACCTGACATGGTGAGAGGTTGGAGTCATAAACAACAAGGAAAAGATCACCAGTGATGAACAAGGAGCCAAGTTATAGGAACTCAAAAAATTTCTTCCAAAATAACAACAACAATACTATAAAAGTGGCCATTACATTTGGGGTTTAGATTCTACAGTCAACTTTACCTCATCATGGTCAGATTATGCAACATCTCCATTATAATTAATATTCATCGACATTATTATTTGTGAGAAATTACTGGATGTCCATAATCAGACATTAAAAAGAGGGCATGACATGACCTGTTTTTTTTTTTTTTTCCTTTTTGTCTTTTTTTCATGACCGGCAACGGGATCGCAACCCTCGGTGTTGCACCCGCACCTCACTCAGCCAGTGAGCGGCTGGTCTGTATGTGGGATCCGAACCCTCGGCGGGAGCGCCACCGAGCTCCCAAGCGGTGCACTGTAGCAGTGCGCCACCGGGCTGGCCTGACATGACCTGTTTTTAAAAAAGCTCTCAATTTAATGGAAATTAAACATAAACATAAAAGTAAATTTAAAATGAAATGCTATTAAAATGCAATTTAAGAACATTTTAATATATAAGTTTTAATATTTAAAATGTTTTTCAATTCTCATTTGGTATATGAGACATTGGTACAACCACTTTGGAGTTTGGTTTTATAAAGCTGAAAATACAACACTCTATGGTCCAGAAGTTCCAATTTCAGAAAACTAACCTAGAGCAATGGCTAATTGTTATTTGTGTATCCCTTAAAATAATTTTGAAAAACTACTATTCTCCTTCCTACATTTTTAAGTTGACATTTAATGTTTTTCAGCATGAGTTTAAATAGTTGGAACGGATCCCACATACAGACCGGTTCCCGCTCACTGGCTGAGCGAGGTGCGGGCACAACACCGAGGGTTGCAATCCCGTTGCCGGTCCCGGTCCGGTACGGGCGCGACACTGAGGGTTGCGATCCGTTGCTGGACACGAGAAAAGACCAAAAAAAAAAAAAATTATTTGTATACATTAAAATCCAAAAAATCAAAATTTTCTTTTACAGGACTAAATTTTAACATTTTTTGCTTGGATTATCATTATGATTATTATTTAGCACACAATTAATTATGACATAATTATTAATTATATGTATGATTTTAACTTAAATATATTATAATTTTTGATGAATAATTATTGAACAAAAAAGGTGAAGTATTATTGGGAGTAGAACTCAATAAGATGGTTAGGTTTCTTTCTTTAATTGGTCCATGTAACTGCGGATAAATGTTACTTATTGCTGGAATGAGGGGGGTAAGCAGTAATCAGTGTTGTCTTCCTCTGCCAGATTAGCCTTCTCTAAACATTGCTTCCTGGATCACTTATAACCATCCCTCATCCACTCTACAATGTCTAAATTTCCAAGTCTTATTTTTTCCCTTTGTTAAGTTGCTCTTACTCTTCCTATTCCACATTCTCTCTTACTACATTCTACTAGGAACTCTGTTTCAGTCAAACTCCCTCTTCCTTGTCCCCTCCAAATATTAGGCAACTACTTAGTGCTTCCTCTCCATCCCTGCACTGCCCTTATTTGTTCTCTCCACCTCCATAAATTCCGTCTGTCCAGCACACACCTCACCTTCTGCTAAATCATTCCTGTCCGCAGCCACCCTTCCTTTCTCTTTCTTGCGTTTTTTTCCCTTTGCCCTTATACTCTGTATTGTACAAGCAGCACCTGATTATGTACTGTACTTCACCCATCTATCCTTAATTATACATCACATATAATTTAGTATTTTATTATACATTCTTTTCTTCCCTAATTGTTTCATGTCTTGTCAACCAGACCATAATTTGTTTCTATTATTAGCTCGCTATGCGAAGTGCTATGATCTTTTCCACAAGCCCAGAGAGATTTTTGAACCCAGTGAAAAGAAATCAGAGGGATAACTAATGGTTTTCAAGTTCATAACAACAGTTTTTCACTTCGAGTGATGCTGAAAACAGGCATAACTGTCCTTAGGTGACAGCGGGAAGGCTATAGATCTAACATCAGAAGGAACATACTTATAAGTATTAAAAAGAAACACTGTTAAAGATTATTAAGAATTTCAATTGTTCTGCTTTAAGATGGACTCTCAAGATCTGGAATTTTGTGGAGGAAGACAAATCTTATGTTTCTAGGTTTTCATGAAAATCAAGGCTGACACCTCATCTGGTAAGTATTAAAAAGAAACACTGTTAAAGATTATTAAGAATTTCAATTGTTCTGCTTTAAGATGGACTCTCAAGATCTGGAATTTTCTGGAGGAAGACAAATCTTATGTTTCTAGGTTTTCATGAAAATCAAGGCTGACACCTCATCTGAGTCACCCAGTGGCAGTCTTATGTAGCTCTGTCCCTTTGTCCCTTTCATTCCCTGTCGGTAGACAATGCAAGGGTCTAGGAGACTATTTCTGTGGTGCATGTTCTCATCAGGCCCCTCGACAAACTCAGGGAAAGCCCTTGTCTATAATGATGGAATGTAGGCTATGGAGGCAATATCAACAATCAGAGCAATTATCAGGTTCCAAAATGGCTTTGCTCAGCTAGTAACAGAAGCACACCTGTAGGCTGTAGTGCAGGTGTCCTTGTACTCCTGGAGCTTCACACACACCATGTTGAGGAACTGATCTGAATATGCACTCAGGTCATGCATCAGGTTCATGAGGTCTTGCACTGTTTTCTCCACAATGATCGTGCTCTGGAAACAAACAAAAAGAGAGAAGACACAGAAACTCATGAGATTTCTGTACTAAGTAATGTGTAGGACAAGGAAGGATACTGAAAGGATGTAATAATTTAAGACACTGGTTTATCACCTCCGGGCTCTACTTTAAGACTAGGGACCCTAATCTCAGGCAGCACCAAAAAAAGCATTCCATGATTTATTTTCAAAGTTTCAAAACCATCAATCTATTAAGAACAAAAACTGACATTTGTATTGTGTATTACAGCTTGTAAAATGTTTTCACATATACAGCACGTTATCTAACTTAAGATTCACATAATAATCATAACCGTGAACATTTATAAGACTCTTACAAGTCCAAGGACAACGCTAAGCACTCTCCATGCTTTATTTCATTTAATCCTCTCAACACCCTACCTATCAGGTGGATTCTATAGTCATACCCAGTTTAAAGATGAGGAAATTGGCTTAGAAAGTTGAAATAAACAAATCAAGGGCTCCAGGAATTGTGCTCTTCACCACACCATTCTGCTTCGACCTGGGTCCCCCTGCCCTAGACCAATTATTTTTCACGAGATCACAGTATCTCACATTGTTCTCACCACTACAGAAGCAGGGTCCAAATGGACTCAGACACATTTTAAAACTTAATTAAAGAAATATCTAAAGTGAAAAACAATAAGCCCATCTTAAAGCTAGAGATTGATATTACTGTGCAGCAAATCAGTTGTTATATCTGAAAAATTCAATAAATTCTAAATCTTTGATTAAGAAAAGCCTGTTTTTTAAACCATTACTTCATTTCTCTTTCAAAAGGAGCAGAATTACACTGGAGTAAATACTAATCACATGCTTAGCAGCTTGGAATCCTTTGGTCAATAACTGGTTGTTGAATATGTATTTACATAAAATTACATAGGCTATGGTAGACTTAGCCATGAAAGTAAACATTAAAAAATTTTTTTTCCAGTCAGCCAGTAATTTATGAAGGAATCAAAGGCATTTTATGATGCTTGAATAGAGACACTGGGGTACAGGGTTTCAGCTCATTTTTTTTTTTCTAAAAAGAAAAAGAATGGAAAAAAGTGTACAGCTTTTCTGGACACACTGGAGGATTAGCTTGAATGAGTTACATTTGCATGCGTATTCAAGATGATTTGGTTGTAGAGGTTTCCTGTCTCTTTCCCCCTTCCTCATCCCTGGTAAAAGAATTGGAAGGTGAAAAAAGGAAGGATCAGTTATATTGTGTAAGGCAAACCTCAAAGGAAACCAAATTATAGTCTCTAGAATCCCCACAAGTTCAACTTCCTTTTCTGTATTGATTTTAAGATTAAAGCACTGCAGCTTCACCCTGATCCATAATCCCATTCCTCCGTATTTGTGTGTGAGTGACAGGAATTGATTCTGCTTGGCTACACGTCCCCACACTAAGAAGAATCTAAAATCCTCATCCTGATTCAGAACACAGGATATCCTACAAACGTGGACAGCAATTAATAAAGGAGAGTGGTATTCAGCCATCCTAACAAAGCCCATTTAAAATCTAAAGCATTGCAGGGAAGATGAGCACGGGGAGATTACGCTGATTACTGGGAGAAAGGGCCTGGTTCTATTCCCCATTATGCTACTGATAATCATCTCTGGGGCAGCTTTGGGTAGCCCCTTTCTTTCTTATGGCTCAGTTTAGTCTGCTAATAACCAAGGATATATTGATCACTCCTTTACTCTGTCGGAACCTCGTGGCTCATGTATTCAATGTCTGCACTGGTACTTCCACACTGGGTGACTATCATGTCACTGCTCTTGAGTCATCTCAGGTGTGTTTGGTCTTCCTGAAGAGATTATCAGCGTCTCAAGAGGAATTAGCATTCTTCTTTTCTTACTGTCCATCCCCATGTTTCTCTTGCCCCACTTGCTTATAATTTCTCAGGGTCTTCAGGACAATACCACTAATAAAAGAAACAAAACTAGTAATGTTAATACACAAAAATAAACCTCTCTCTGAATATCATATACATGAGAGATGTTAAGCACAATTACCTTTGCATTTTGAAATCTCTTTTGGTGGATTAGGTTTGGTTTATATTTATTGCAGTGCTTTCAGGTGTCTAGAATTGTGTTGATGGTATATGGATGGGGAGAGGTGACTGCAAACACCTCTGCGTATCCCCTGGTGGTCAAGGTTTTATGGGTGAACAGGAGGTATCAGCAGGAAATTATTAGAATGCCATGGTTTAATTCTAATGGTTGTGCTAAACACAGAGCTTATGTGATGCTATATGATTACATACAATTTTCCAGCTATTTCGCTGGTTTATCTTGTCTTGGTAGCACTCTGGATAATCAATCACTACATTCTCTTCAAGGAAAATGATACTGTATGGTTTAATTCTAATGGTTGTGCTAAACACAGAGCTTATGTGATGCTATATGATTACATACAATTTTCCAGCTATTTCGCTGGTTTGTCTTGTCTTGGTAGCACTCTGGATAATCAATCACTACATTCTCTTCAAGGAAAATGATACTGTAGTTTGCCAAATGATGGGTATTTTTACAGGAAAAAAAGTTCCCAATTTTTTCAAGATTTTATAACAATTTCCAAATCAGTGTCTCTGACAGATAAATGTTGAAAATATCAAATTCCTAACAAGGTCAATCCTGTTTTTATTTATTTGAATTTATTATTCAGCATCACAAATGATTTATTGACTCATTATTAATTTTGAGATTTGCCAATGTCAAATATAATGACTTTATAATAAGTAAAACCCTGATTTTATTATTATAATTTCTATTAAACACATCACAAATGATTGATATTTGTTTAGAAACAACTCAATTCACATTTCTTGCAACTTATTAGCAGGTATTAAAGCATGACATGAAAAATGAGAAAAGGAAAAAAATATACCAGGACAGCTGATGTGAAGAAAAACATTGCTATGAAAAATAAACAAC